CCCCGCTGCTTAGAACAAAGCGATAGAGTGAAATCTTTCCCCTGCAGTGCGCTGGGACGGCTCGCGGGTGATTCCCGTTTATATCATTAAGCAGATGTTCAAACTCTGGTCCGAACACCACTGGCCACGAGCTTTGGGCTCTGCTCTCACGGAGAATATTTACTTATATAGCATATTTTATTTTAGATCAACTAGAAACAATGTTACATTTATAAGTTTTATTTTGAAATGTAAGTCAATAACAATTGGCTGAAGCCAGAGCCAATGGTGAAAGTCTTTGCGCGTGGAGACCCCGCCCCATTTGGGAGGTTCTGCCCACTTTTGGAGTTCACGCCCCATTTTGGAGATCTCCGGTCTGCAGTTATATCTACATGGGCGGCGCCACCGGCGACTGTCCGCGGATCCCGACTCCGGGCGCTGTTCATAATCCTGCCGCGCCACAGAGCGCCTCAGCGCGACTCACATCATTTTCCATTAAATTACATTATATGTGTACCAAATTATTGTTAATGTACATAATGACTTCATCCTAGGTTGGAAGACTGTGTATTGTGCATTTTTTAACAAAACGTTTGTCTTTCTGTGTCTCTACTTCATCCTAGGTTGGAAGATTGTGTATTTTTTAGCAAAATGTTTGTCTTTCTGTGGCTCTAATAAATTCCGTGATTCATTGTGCTATAGATCGCAATTTCTCATCCCGTTTGCTGTGTTGCACTGGGGCACCAATGTGTTTTTCGTTTGTTGTGCAACCGCAACAAAACAGCACAGCGAGAGTGACTGATATTACCAAAATAAAACAGCTAAATTTAAGTCAAATGCAAATTCTCATTACAAATATCTGCACTTCAGCGGGAAAAACGTACAGACACTCCCTCCCATCACACAAAAACAACAACTGTAATGTGTTTAAGACAACACAACATGACAGCGCTGACACAAAACAAATTAGCGACAGACACTTCATGACAAACAAGCAGTGTTTATAATAAATAATATTATTATTGGCTCGGCCGGCTAGTAAATGTCCTCATTTACATTATTTGCGGCTTCCATCCTGACGTGAATAATAGCTAGTTAGTTTATCAGCGTATATATATATATATTTATTTTTTTCCCCGAGAGATCCCCACAGCGGGCGGAACTTGTCATAAAGTTAGTGATAACAAGGTCTGCCCATTTAGAGGAAAGATATGATTGGTCAATTTTTCTGTCATTCGAAATTACTCCCCCATTGATTTACTATTGCTTGGCCCTCTGTAATTTCATAGCTTGACCACAAATCACAGAGCAAACGCTAGGCGGAAACATTCAAATATGGAGAAAATGGGCGGTGTTAATTTTTTCCCAGAAGTTGTATTTATTTTATTTAGATGATGTTTGTCAAATTATGAATTGCTTTTTGAAACATTTATTTAAAAATTGTAAATATTGTTTTAACAATAAGTTAGGCCCTCTCTGAGCTCTCTGAGAGCCCTGACGGTTCCCCACTGGTTTTTAGTAACTTTACTATTACACATTAAGTGTTTGCAGTTTTATACTAAGAAATATTCCTTCTCAGTGGACTCAAATGAATTAAGTTAACCAAATGTTTACACACCATCACAGCAGTGAAACATCTCAATTGCATTTAATTTAGTGAATTGAATTTCACAACAAATGTTCTAGTTTACTGTAAAATGTATGTATAGCATTACAAGTTCACTGTTGCTCTCATATTTATAAATGTTTCTACTGTAATCTTACAGTGATAGCTGTAAAAACATAATTTTACAGTATATATATATATATTATATATATATATATATATACAACAGTTTGCTGTATTTTTACAGTACAATTGTTATTATTGATTTACAGTACTTTTGTAAATTTACAGTCTTACTAGCAACCAAAGTTGCCAGTAAGTTACTGTCAATTTTACAGTATATTTTACAGTGCATATTTATACAGCCCTTGGGTTAAAAATAACCCAAATTGAGTTGTTTTAACCCGGTGTTTTGTTTTGTTTTTTTTGTGTGGGATTCTGTGTGTTACTGCAACAGGTTATCATAAATAACTTCATAAATAACTTCATATTGACATGTTAGAATATATTTCAACCAAAAGCATTTTTTCTTGTAAAAGGTTTAGTTCTCGGAGCTCTGTATTTTAATTTCTCGATCAAAGTACTTTCCTGACATTTGTTAAAAAAGATTATATGATTATATTGGTTTTCACCCCAAAGACTTGAGTGTGCCAAACAATGAGGATCAGTTTAGCCTTTCATAACACGAAAACACATTTACAAGCCAAAGAGATATTAATCATCCAATTTACTAAACTGGTTCTGTATTGTCTACATGTCACCTCAGGAGTGATCAGTATGAAAGAACCTTTGATTCTAAAATGAAAACAGAAAGTACACAGTGCTCTGTCTTAGCAATTACAGGAACATATGTTTTCCTTCTTTATATGTGATTATAATGAAGCTGAGCTCCTTACTAACACATTTAAAATGCCACAGTTCTTTTCATTTTGAGTCCTAATATTTTTAACACCAGTTCAATGTATAATTATTAACTTACCATAATTATATTGTAAGATAAACAAAACAAAACAAAAAAATAATAAATAAATAAAAAATAAGCAAAAATCGTGCTTATTGTTTTTCACTGCCGTTAACAACATGAACTGATTTCAGATGTCTTTGCATCAGGCATTTTAGGAGAAATATTGTAAGGTTTCTTCCAAACTCTCTCTGTATCATCTGACCTCATTTAGCATCATGTCTTTTTCCTTAATTATTGCCGAATGAGTGACTGTTAAACCTTGAAGTGTTTAGATTCCATTTGGATTGAGTTCATCTGTGTATTGATTTTAAAGTGTTAATTATGGTTTTGTGACAAAGTAATGGGGGGGGGGGAAATGAACAAATAACTGCAACTGAAAAATTCATGTCCTCTTGTTTTTGTTTCTACGGGAGATTAATTTTGACTCACAACTACAATGTTCAGTTTACATTTAGAGTGAATCCATCTGCTGCAATTTTGTTCTGTGAGAACATAAAATATGGGATTTCTTTCTCTCAATGATTTTAGCACCCTTTTCTCAGTTTTCCCCGGCTCATTATTTATCTGTCAAAGCTTTTTTGTAAAAATTTTGTGTTGCCTATTTGTTAACTATAGCAAATGAAAAGGTCAAAATCAAGAATAGATCTTCTGTCAGTTATGGGTGCAGTTCTGTCACACCTGGATTTGAGTTTCACCACAAAACATCATTACAAACATTTTACAATCCAAACTGATGTATTGTCTCAATGTCACTTTGGGCGTGCTCAGTATGAAAGAGTCTTTGGTTTTGTTGTTTCACTGCTAAAGTGAAAGAAAAAGAATGCTGTGCTTTGTCTTTCAGGAATATCTCCTATTTACAGGGTGTGTTTGTTTTCTTAGTCATTTCAAATTATTATTATTATTATTTTTTTTATTTTTTTATCTTAATACATCAAATTCTTAAACACAAACTGTCATAGGCATTATATTATATACATACTGCAGTTGATGCCATGTATACTAATAAACTACTAGATTTTAGGTTAAAACCAGATTAAACAGAATTGTATTTTAGTTGAACTGAAAGCTGAACATAGTTATGTGTTATGATAAATACAGTAAACTAAAATTAGACTTAGAATTGACATACAAGAACTGCTCTCTCAATTTGTCTTTGAGTTCACAAAAATTCATTAAAAGTAAGTAGGTGGGGCTCTTCATATTTAACATGCATCACAAGACTATTTAAGTCATTTTCTCACTTGTGAGATTTAGATCAGGGTCGGACAAATTTGAAGTCACAAGCCAATAACACATCCAACATCAACAAGTAAGTTTTCCTTAAGACTTCCATTTTCTCTTTCAAACAAAAAACCCAAAACTTGATGAAACCTAAAACGTATTAATTTTCTATAGCCATTTGCTGAACCCACTTATTACAAGATTATAAAAGTACAATAAATACATACAATGATGTAAATATTTATTTGAGTTTTCTTGCTAGTTTGCAGCTATGTAGGGACATAATTTTCCTTAATTAGTCATCATTAGTTGCTCCAAAGTGTGTTTCTGAGAAAGAGAAATAAATCTTTCTTTTGTTTGAAGCTCTTAGAACGAAGTAAACAGGATGTTCTGGAAACACGGCTGTACATTGTGCGTTTTGAGTCTTTGCTAGGGAAGAAATGAGTACATTTGACTGACTTTGTAAGAATGCAAGGATCAGAATGCAAAGATCAACGCTAAGGATTTTTTCTACTGGTCTGATTGGGCCAGTGGTCCAAATGTTTACTTGCCCTGCCACAAACAAACAAATACATAAATAAAAGTTGCTGTTATCATGTTATTATTTCGTTTCTGCAAAATGAACATTTTAATGACAGTATATTCATTGAACAAAAATAATTGATCAGAAAATAGCACAGACTTTTCTAAAGTGAATGTTTTGATCGAGTATTAACTTAAATATTATTCAAAACATATTACTTCCGCTGAAGTATTTGTATAAATGCTTCCTGTGTGTGGAGCAAAAGGCCCATCTTGCCACCTCATACATAGAATAAAACAAACCACTTTTATTAGTTTTGCTCCAGGAAACACAGTCATCTTTGTTTGCCTCAATAAGTGTTTATGAGAAAGTCAGTGCATAACGTATATTACCCCATTGCATCACCAAGTGTCCAACCAGCACTTAATAATGGTGTAATTGGTTTGAACACATATACTGTACCATGTGTGAAAATTATGATATTGTGGCAAGTCTAATACAAAGATAATATTGACTATCATTTGACTGAAAACTGGTGAGTTTCAGGTGAGTAAAGCATTAGGTCATAAATCATGATTTCAACTGTGAAATGAAAAGGGTTTATTTTAGGGTTTATTTTAATCTTTGTTTCATAGTGAAAGAAGATCTGAAGATTGTTCTTCTGGGTAAAACTGGATCAGGAAAAAGTGCAACAGGAAACACTATACTGGGCAAAGATGTGTTTAAATTGGGTTACTTCTCTGAATCTACAACTCAACTGTGTGAGGACCATGAGGAAATTGTAAAAGGTAGAACCATCTCAGTGATCGACACACCTGGACTGTATAACACATCCATCACACATGAAAAACATTTGAAGGCTGAGATTAAGAAGAGTTTGCAGAAGTATGCTTCTGGTCCTCATGTGTTTCTGCTGGTCATCAGACTGGACAGATTCACAGAAGAAGAGCAAAACACAGTCAAATGGATTCACAAGAATTTTGGAGAAGGTGTTAAGAGATTCACAATAGTGCTGTTCACTGGAGCTGATATGTTAACCAAACCAATAGCTACATTTCTGCAGGAAAACCAGGAGCTGCAGAAGTTAGTGGATGAATGTAAGGGAGAATATCATGTGTTTAATAATGTGAATAAGGATGGAGCTCAGGTTACTGAACTGCTGGAGAAGATCAAGAGACTAGTGGAGAAAAATGGAGAAGAATCCTACACCATTGAGATGTTCAAGAAGACTCAGAGAAAAATAGTCATGATACAAATGTTAAAGATAATTTCTGTGTTAACATGCTGTGTTGTATTTCCTCAACCAAGAAGGCTCTTGTTTGACTTGCTTTGTAAGATGTGGACATTTTAATGAAACCATACTTATGATGATAATGATGACTATTATTTTTATTTTACTATTATTTGATTTCTTTATTATCATTGTCATTCACATATTTAAATGTAATTGAACCTTGTTTAGCTTGTTTTTTTGTTGTTGTAAAGATAACTGTCGAGACAAACTGTGGACAACAGAAATAAAAATAACACAATTAAAACAAATATTTGTGTTTTTTAATAGTTCTAAACACAATAACTATTTGGTAGATCAGTTTTGTAAACTGGCATTGCTGTTAGTAACGGTCTATGCTGGTGTCAAAATAGTAAGGTACTTTTTTATTTTATTAACTTCTACCTTTTTATCCTTCATCATGACAGAGGGAGTAAAATATCAATTGTTCAAACTGAATTAACAACAAAGATGCAAAGAAGCAGCGAACAACCTCGAAGTAAGTACTGAACAACTCATTCTATCGTTTATCCATCCATCCATCTTTCTATTCATCAGTCTGTTTGTCTTATTTACAGTATCAGATCTGAATATTGTTCTGATGGGTAAGACTGGAGCAGGAAAGAGTGCATCAGGAAACATCATCCTGGGTGGAGACAGAAAAACATTTAAAGAAGATTGTTCCCCTTCTTCTGTGACCAGAATCTGTGAATCATCACAAACAGTGGTGAATGAACAAACAATAAATATGATTGACACTGTAGGAATCCCTGATACAGTAAAGAAGTTTACAGATGTTCAACCCAAAATAGAGAAGATATTTGATTGTACACAACATGGTGTTGATGTGTTTCTGCTGGTGATCAGATTGGGTGTGTTCACAGAGGAGAGCAGAAAAGTTGTGAAATGTATCCAGGATAATTTTGGAGCAAAATTCTTACAACACACAATAGTGCTCTTTACTCATGGAGATCAGTTACGTGTGCCAATAGAGAATTATCTGCTAAAGTCTTCACTACTGCAGTCAGTAGTTGATCAGTGTTCAGGAAGATTTCATGTTTTTAATAATAAAGATGAAGATCAATATCAGGTCACTGAACTTCTAAAGAAGATAAACAGACTGATGAAGGAGAATAGATACAGGAGATACACTGCACAAGACTATAAGGAGATTCAGAATGAACTTCTACGTTCAAAATGTCTTGCTGGAGCAGCAGTAGGAGGAGGAGTAGGAGGTGTATTAGGAGGAGCAGGATGTGTAGTTGCTGCTAAAGCAGGAGCAGGAGCAGTTGCATTAACTGCAGGAAAGGTAGCAGCAATAGGAGCAGTAGGAGCAGTAGGAGGAGCAGCTCTGATAGCAGCAGCAGCTGGTTTTGGAGTGTATTTCTTGGCAAGAAAATATATCTGCAACTCAGAAACAGGGGAGAGTAAGAACAAGAAACAGAACTGAGGGGAGATTTTCCAATGATCCTTTCTTGTCATTTTACTTACATAAACTTTGGCTTTCAGATGGAAAACTTTATTTTTCATGCTTTATTGGATTATGGAGAGTGAAATGTGCACATACTGAAATGTTTTCACATATTACTTTACTGTTGTTGAGAAACGGCCCTTAAAGTTCGTAAACAGAAACATTTGTTTGTTAGTGCATGTTAACTGTTGTTGTTCTTCTTTCAAATGTTATTCTAGTTAACAGAGAGCAATACAAAACTCAATGTTTTTCTGCGTTTAGTGTAATTCTTACAGTTTCAAAACAATATTAAATACAACAGTCATTATTTTTTTAAATATATATTCTCAACAATAATGCTTCTCATCAGTTTCAAACAGAACAGTTGTCACAATATTTAAAAGCATCACATTTGATAACCAAACACTATTTTATGACTATTAGTACATTTATTTCTACTCTATGTACGTCATTTATTGAAGTTTGCTGCAGCAGTGACAACCCAGTCAACACGTGCGATCATGCGCTGATCACAGTGACATCACACCATTCTCATAGTGTGATACTCACAGTGAGAGTAATATGTAAGCTCATTGTGAATTCAAAATGTTGAGCAGGTTGAGAGGAGGCAGTTCAAATATCAGTCACCGAGGAGCGTTTCTATATCCTGTTTCTCAACACTAATCAC